CTTATAACATGACTTATATCTCGACTAATGCCCAAATAACACATTTGCCAGGAAGACCTTTATGTTGAAATTCACACATGGAAGTTACGTATACTGTAATAAATTTCCTTGACAATGCTTTGGTTTGCTCCAGTACAGTTAGTTCTTTTCGTCTTTACCATCCAACTGTCCAGTAATCGAAGTTAATAACCGGAATTTATGTTTTTCTTGCGCCAGTGTTGTGTGATTTGCTGCAAAACGCGCATGAAAATTGTAGACTTATCTTTAACCCTTAGAAGATGAATACCTCCTAAAATACACAGTACTGGACAATCTTTACATTGCTCTAAGACCACTACATTCTTTAGCTTTAGGCCATCGACCACAGGCGCGTAGTTTTGCATAAGGACGGTAGTGACATGTCCCTACACTTCGGGAGGACAGAAATGTCCCTACCAATCTTTTGAGCACACACTTGGAGTGAAGTCATATTAGATCATTACGATTATGTGATATGCTTGAGCTGAAGAAAGGGACGGGGCGATCTAAAGATCACGTTACGTGTTGTTGGGTTTTCTGCATCATTCGCCATAATACACAGGGATTACACTGTATAGTTGTTACGGTTCAAGTTTATTTCGTCTTCACAGCACAACTTGTAACACTCCATCAGTCGCCGTGGGAAAAGTACAAGAGAGAGAATTCCCCAGTCAGTAGTTGTATATAAACTGTCAAAAAGAAAAACTAGTGTCGTTAAAAGAAACAAACTAGAGCTACGACATATACACAGGAATTTGTTCCATAGCAAAAAACACACAATTTAACAGGGCTGCTTACCAAAATAAAATAACATGTCTGTCTCTATCAAGAACACAACTCAACACGTGTAAATGTAATATTCGCTCCCAGACACGGGGGAGGCGACGGCTGCTGGTCAGTGCGCTGTCAGCGGTTTGCTGTAGTGGCTGACTTGTAGGAAAGATATTCACAGATTCGAAGTTTCTGGATCACCAGCGGAACGCTTCTTTTGTTTCGTAGTGATGCAGTCTTTTGTTTGAAGCAGTCAAGAAGCTACGGGCTCATTTTAAGAAAATGAACCATCCTCTGTTCCAAATGGTCTCAATGCGCAGCCGGTTGCGAGGCGAGTGCGCAGGGACCATCTACAAAGTACGACACTGAAAAGAGATGGGCCTAAAACAAAAATATTCAGTAACTTTACTCTTACCTAGTGTTACAAAAATTACTTCACAATCAATGGCCGTCTGCTGGTTACATTACAATACTTACTACACTTAGTTAGGAAAATATGTTTTTTCATCATTTGGTGGAATTTTTATCGGAAAAATATTCAGCTCGTACTTAAATTAAAATCACTTCAAACATTAATGACCATCTGCTGATTGTACTGCAGCACTTGTTTTGTAAAAAAAACTATGCTTATGTATAATTTTGGTGAATTTATATTGGGATAATGGCTATTCAGTAAGTTCACTGTTAAGACAGTGGTGTCGGGGCACGGGGGACGGCACACCTGAAGCTTTTATTCACAGACAACAGGTGAACTTCACACGCAAAATATTAAACGTGTCGACAAACAACCATTCAACTCGGCATAAATGAAGAATACGTTTTCAAATTATTAATAAACAAACAATCAAAATCAGCTGTAAACCTTATTATTAGAAAATAGCGGGCCTGTAAAACGAAGCGTCTCTGTCGATACTTTTATTATGGTACCGTTAGTCGTATTTTGAAAACCCCTCCCAGATGTGTACTTGTTACATTCCGATAGTTTAACATCCATGGACAAACTATATGACCACAGTGGACAATACACACACCAGCTGCTGTTTTCAACGACTTGAGGTAGGACTGCTGTCCTGCATATCATGTTTTACTGGCCGTTATGACACTTGGCTTTGGCCAGGCTATCGTTATTTTATTATAGCTTTATAAGCCAAGGCTTGGGACTATGGTCCTAATAGGTTTTGCTCTGGGCATAACGTTATGACAGGACTGTGGGCAGACTGAAACTTATTTTCCCGTAGATATGTTTGCTCTTACTGAACCTCACCAACTCCAACCAGTGCGACCCCTGCCTGCTCCCGAGTCTTAGTGTGTAATGCTTATTGATTTGTTATGCAGGATATTGAATAAAAGAGCTCATCATTTATCTATTTCTGA